GCAGACTTGGCTCTGGTTTCAGAAAAATAATGCACTTTTTGACCATTAAAGCATGTAAAGCACAACATGTAATTATTAAAGCCCCTTTAGGCAACATTCGTACACTACTAGCCAATCATCTACTTTGTAAGATGGCTACATCTCTTTTTTTTCATGTATTGTTTGTTCCACTGCTCTCGATGTAGTCAGCTGTAGTTTATACATTTACTGTATTACTGACATTATGTTTCATTTGGCTATTGTTCAGTTTTACCTTCAAATTAGATTGAACTCTGCATGTGTTTTTTGCCCTGGCAAACTTTGTTGATGCAATCTTCCCAGGATCTTGCGATCATTGTAGAATTTATTGCAAAAAATGTATTTAAGATTCTAGCAATTTGTTATGTGATTGTTTGACGGCCTGGCAAAGTGGATTGACATTCTCCAAACTCTTTACTCATAATGGGATTATCCAACACTGATTCCAGTAGCATGCTGTTAGAGCCATTCAGATTCCAGGCAGATTATGTAAACATCATGCAAAGAGATCTCCTGTTTAACCTGCAGTGTCACACAGCAAATGTCTGTCTGTGACAAAACAACAATCAGGATTATGCTGCTAAACATTACATTCAGGAGATTTATATTACTGTGTTTTAGTTCATCCTTTAAAGACTTGAAAGGATCATCTGATCTGTTTAGCAAACGCTTTAACTTTACATGGTTAAATAATTCCCTTATATCTGTTTCCTTGTCCTTGATGTTTTTTAACTTGATGAATAATTCAAAATTAGCATTTCAGGATAAATGTATCCTCATAGCAAATATATCCACAACAAAGAAGCTGTCTCTCTTCATTAAGCAAAATGCAACAAAACTCCATGTGTTGGGACAATTTGTGAAGATGGCAAATAAATCCCTCATTTTGTTTGAGCGCACAACCATTGACCCCAGGAGCATCGGACTTTTTAGTAACTGTGATGACATTCTTGTTAAAGAGTAATGACCTCGAAGTTGGTACAAAGTAAATATTGAACTTTACGTCTTTAAGTCTTGCCTTGTACTGGAGACGGAGGCATGCTCAAAATTCATTTCTGGGGGGTGTCCAAGGGGAGGTTGTAGTTTATAATTGGATTGAAAACATAAGGAGCTTTGGCCCTCTCCTGACATCAATGTTTTTACTCTTTAAACATAGCCGGCAGTGACCCTCCATCTTCAGCCACTGCACCCTCCACGGCGTGTTGTGTTATCAGAAGATTTTATTCATTTGCAGAAGCCCAAAAAAAGTCAGACAAGTCAGTTCTGTGTCTGTGTCTGTGTCTGTGTCTGTGTCTGTGTCTGTGTCTGTGTCTGTGTCTGTGTGTGTGTGTGTGTGTGTGTGTGTGTGTGTGTGTGTGTGTGTGTGTGTGTGTGTGTGTGTGTGTGTGTGTGTGTGTGTGTGTGTGTGTGTGTGTGTGTGTGTGTCCGTGTGTGTTGCTCTCTATGGGCTTTCTGAGCATGTTTTACTTCAAACAGCTGATCAATCTTCAAGAAATAATTATAAATGACAATTTGCAGTGTATGCCCCTTTACACCTGTCAGAGCAACAATAAGAACACCCCTACCTGCATTACTTGAACCATATGTTTGTCCTCTAGCTTTTCTCGCATAACAGCTCTTATGTTATTTACTGTAGCAAAGCTAACAACATTTGACTTAGTTTGACTCTGACACTAACATTTCTACCTCCCATAAGCAGAAATCATTCAGCCAGATTGATTGCTTTGGTTTCATTTTACATTTTTGATGCAGCACGCCAAGATCACTTCAGTTTCATGAGGAGCACGCCGCACTTTCCATGTTGAAGCTACTGTTTCTTTTAATGAAGAGTAAAACAAGCTAGAGATTTGAAGCACAGAATATATGACTCACAAAAGATTGTGCCACCTGTTTCATACTGTGGCCGACGGAATAAGCAAAATAATGAGTCCTTGTGAAAGACTATTTACTGGGAAAATATCCCCACTGCTGTGTTTGGTGCCTTGTTGCAATGTTTCACTAATCTTTCAGGCTTTTCCTGAATAATTCATTGTTTACTTAATTTATCCTATACTGGAATAGCAAAGTGGCTCATATCAATGTATTGATTTGAACAGGTTAACAGCTGTTGTCCTTTCATCAAGGAGTACCATACAGTATATTCACCATATTTATTCTGGAGACAAGCCTGCAGTGTTTTGCATTATGTATGCAGAAAAGGCTATTTGAATTTTTCAAACTGTCTGAGATGTATTGACTATTTAATTAATCTGAAATATTTTAATGAGTGGACGTTTCTAACTCTTGACATTTCATACTGCAGCTGCCCACTACTGTGTGAAACTAAGCATATTGTTATATCAGTTTATGCAAATCCGTATAAAATGCTACAGATAAATAAAATATATATTCATGTATGTGGCCTGTCTTGGCACAACTTGGAGACGATTACAACACATCAATCCTAAAAAATAAAGGGTAATAGGGTGAGGTAAAGATAAGTCATGAGTGTATTTTTGGCACCGGAGAGGCTAAGTGGGCCCCATTGGTCATTAGTTGTTGTTTATTAAACCATTAATCATTCAGTGCTTCTTAGGGATTATTCACTTAATGTTCAAACTCGTGGACTCCTTTGATCCTTGCTACACATTTTGAAATGAGATTTTTAAGGATTCATGGCATTGTTGAACTGTCCCACTGCTTCAAAAAGGACTGAAACACCACTATTTTAGGATTTCTGTTTAAATCATAAATATTTTTAAGGATATACTTTTAATAATCACCTCAATAACTTAAAAGTCAAGATTCAAATCAATTCATATAAAATGTTTATATTCATGTCACTTTTCGTATCAGCAGTCTGTAAAATGTGTAAAGTTATATACACTAAAAACATACCTTTTTATCCTCGCAGTGTCTTGTTGAATGGTATGGTTCAAAGTTTCAGGCAGTGATCCTCAAATATTTTGAAAAAAATGTAAGGGATGATTCAAACTTGAATGCTTTTAAATAGCTGCAAAAAATCAAAAGAGATGCCTGGTGTGCTTTAATGAAGATTTCAATAAAAAGGTGGGTTTTACATTTTGTAATGAGAGAAGTGATGTAAATGAAGGAATAGCTCCAGTATGAACCCCTTTTTGGCCTCCATACAAGCCTTCACAACTAACTAGTCATCACTTTTGTCTTGGCTTCCTTCTATTTTTTCACACTACACCCTGTTGTGAACTAAGCAAAGAGCAGCATTTCTTATATTCCTGTGTAGCAGTTGAAAGGATGTTTGACACATCATAGTGAGTATGAAGTGTCAAACATTATTACCCCAAAGTAGGCAGAGACACAACCAGGAGAGTGTCACCCCTCATCGGCTGACAGACAGTGAGCGGAGCAAACTGTGAAATCATTTGTCTGATTTTCTGGCAGCCAGCAGCAGGACTCAGCAACAATAACAACCGGCCCTGTGGTCAAATCTCCACTGCTTGTCAATAATCCTTCATATTTCTGAATCTCTGCTTTCTGTGCTTTCTGCGCTTACTTACGGCTCTCAAATACTTTGAGAAAAAAGTTTAAATCTGGAATTCTCTATTATTGCAAACATAGTAAATAACTCATAAATCCATCTTTATTGGCAGTATTCAACATTTACATTTTGTTTGGAAAGCAAACAGATTATTCACGGGATTAGTTAATCCTTTGGTCTGTCAGTTAGTGTAGTCTCATTTGGGTTATTATTTGTGATCTGCATCATCTGTGCTCCTTCATACTTTGTGAGAAAAATAAATGAGAGAAAAACTAATGTTCAAAGAGGATTTGAGCAACATCACGTTCTTCCCTCGCAAATATTTATTTTGGCAGAGCAGGAGGCTGGGTTTGTGATAATCCCCCAGCTCTTCAGTTTGTGGGTAGTAAGCAGGAGGTAAGTAGAGTGATTATAGTGCTTTTCAGCATGAGAGTGGGACCAAAAAAAAACAAAAAAACAACAGTGAAAAGCCAGCACCCACACACGTCTGTGCTGAGAGCGGCCCTCCAGAGACACAGCGGTCAACAGTGCATGGGGCTTACCTGTCAAGAGTCTCGTTGTGTCGAGAGCGCAGTGGAGAGGAAACTCAGAGGCTTAACAGCCAGAGAGCAAGAGATAAAAAAGGCCAGTGACAAGAGCAAGTGTTTTAGTAAAATCTTTAGGATCAAAATCAAACCCCAGGCTCAATCTCTTTTAAAAATGGCCCTTCAGGAAAATCAGTCTGACAGGGACTTCGGCAATGGAGAATTTGCCCTCGTCTTTACTCCGTCTAGTTGTCTCTTTGTTCCCCTGAAAATGGTCCCGATCATGCACCTGCAAAAATAGTTTCCCATTGCTTCAAATCACTTGAACATGCTGTCAAGGGCCTCTCCAGGAGATGATTTCACTTCTTCTCCCACCCCATTTACAAGCTGGTCTGAGAACACCGTATTTTAAAATCCATTTGTTCCACTACACGCCACCATGGCCCACAGCTTTACTCAGCGAGCCAACCTTGGTTTCCTCCTGGCTCTGGAGCCCACTGGCATGGCTTTGTTATGCCCGGTCTGAGCTGCATAAATTACAGTATCACTATCCTATATCTCTCTACCTCTGTCCACCTGTTAAAGCAGCCAGTCACCTGTGTAATTCAATTATCGGGAGCCTGAGAGAAGCTGAAACAACAGGAGTTAAATGATTTGTAACAAAGTGAAAAAAAAGCATCAGAATTGTCAATACAGACACATGCAACAGCAGGATAGAATGACCACTTTGTCTTCATTTGAATGTTTAATGTCAAGGGGTATTCCATTTCTATTTGCTTTTTACATATGCCAGCTTTCCAGCTTAACGCAAGTACAAAGGCTTTCCGGAAAAACAACTGATTGCATTTCCACTTCATGCACAAACTGGAAATGGGCATTAAACATACCAAGTGTATCGTCAGGCTACAAATGTATGCGTTTCATCACTTTGTCTATCCTCTCCCCATCCGTCTCATTACTAGATACGGAGACATGGTACCAAAGACGATCGCCGGGAAGATCTTCGGCTCCATCTGCTCCCTGAGCGGCGTGCTGGTGATCGCCCTGCCTGTCCCCGTCATCGTCTCCAACTTCAGTCGAATCTACCACCAGAACCAGAGAGCAGACAAACGCCGAGCTCAGAAGGTAACAATCAGGGTCTTTATTTCATCCCGTATACTCCAGCAGGGACAGTCGAGGTCTATGTGTGGTTAAATAAGTGTGTTTGTGTTGTAGCTGCTGGATACCTGCAATAACATTTTCTATTAACAAAAGACCAAAGTACTACCAGAGATTTTAGTACAATAAGATGTTATGATGTCAATGCAAATGAATAAGAGTGTTGAGAGAAAACGCTGCATGAGTGGATACTAAGCCTGAAAACCCCCTTTAAGGTATGTTCTTTATATATTCAGTTCATTAAAAATAATGACAGAGGGTAGACAGGTCTTGATGACTGAGTTTTTATTAAAAGCAAAGATCGCACATTTTACATTCTTGGAAAAAAAGGTGATGGTGAATAGGATTGACCCCAATTATGAATTGTACGTCTGCATTTCAAATAGCTCTCCCTCAACCTACATCTTCTCACATTTTTCAACGCCATCACACACACAAAGGACATTTCTTTGCCCTTCAGACCCACCATATTCAACATCCTTACACACACACACTCCTTATCTCTTACACACACACACTCCTTTTCACACACACACTCCTTTTCACACACACACTCCTTTTCACACACACACACACGCACGCACGCACGCACGCACGCACGCACGCACGCACGCACGCACACACACACACACACGAAATCCAAGTACTAAATGTTAGCTATCCACTCACTACACTCACCCAGTGGGCTTGACCTTTCTACAGGGCTAGATAAGAGCGCTATTAAGTTAGAGAGCAGCTGCTGATAGCTAATTGAAGAGGGAAAAGTCTGGACTGAATCCATAGTGATATAATAATCCTCTGTGGCTGGTTTGCCCATTAATACACAGTTCTGCTTTGAATCAGCAGAAGTGTAAGGAGAAAGAAATTAGTTCAAACTCAGTGGAGGGAACTCCTTTACACATTTTTGATCCATGGATGTATAAAGAGAACTGGATACGGTTCAGTGGCGCATGAAGCCCAAACGGAGCGACTGTAGATCAGAAACTACTCAGATCATCAGCGGCCTTTTGCTTATAGAGTATGCAAACTTCAGTTTCCGCTAAGCCCCGTCTCCGATTTCCCGCTCTCGATTTAGTCAAATTAATGGAGAGGGAAAATAAATGTTAGCACATTTTACAACTTTTAGAACTCATGATTCAGATAAGGGCTATAAAAGTGTTCGTGTTGGGTAGTTTGTTTAACAACAAATAAATATAAGATGATTTACAGACATTTATTTCCCAATGTAAGTCAACGGGAAGAAGTATTTTTAGGTCAATATGACCTCAAGGACTAGAACGGGAGTCTATTACCACTGTTTGGCCACTACGGCTACTGCAAAAATGTGCTTTAATGGCCGGCGCACTTCTTTGGGGCTGGGGGGAGTCATTCACACACACCTCCTTTTCATGGGAAGCTGCACTCTCAGAGGAAATAAATCAAAGAAGGTTAAAAGCTTATGAATAATGGTAATTGTTTACAGATGGTTTGACTACACCACTGCATGTTTGACAAAAACAAATATTGATGCACTTGAACAATGTAACTATTGTATTTTTGATGTAGTCAATGTCGTCCCTATAAGTAAGAAAAACATTTTTTGTTCTGTAAACCCCTAGAAAACAAAAACAAAAATGTTGTACCTCACATTGCAATAAAGATTTCTACATGATTTGTTTAAGGCAGCTTTTAAAACCTTAAATTAGCAACCTCTTCATTGACTGTTAAATATTGTTTCGATATCGATATGTGTATATTGGCATGAATAGAACGGTTGCCTAGCAACAACTACTGACAGCAGTAGGGAACAAATGGGCTGGAGGATAACATCACTGAACCTGTCTGAATACCATATCAGGAAGATGTTGATTTGTCTGACTCATATTCTACAAAACACTGTACTAGTATAGACATTTGAAGAACAACACTGGCCTGATTTGAAAACTAAATTAAGAATTACACGTATTCCTGGTCTTGCTCTTCAGTGACGTTTATAGATGGGGCAGTGAGTGGAAAAGACTTGATCAGCATTAGTAAACGTTGTCAGTCTGCAGATGGCAGGTGGAGTGTAGTAGGTTTTTAGGCATCTGTTTTCTGTAACAAAAAGTCTATGTATGCCAAAAGCAACAATGATAAGAGCAGAGAGAACAAGATCAAAACAGAGAAGATGCAAGCTGTAAAATCAAAACAACAAGCTTTAAGATTATAAAGAGGTCAGAGAAACTGCATCTGATGGTAATTCTCTGTCCATCACTAGCATCAACCCGTTTCACATACAACTACAATTGTACTATTAAATATTGCTTATAGCTTCCTATATGACCCCCGGAAAGTAAACTATACTTCTTTGGTGAATTGGATTGTTTTGGTGCAGGACTTGCTTTGCTGGATGGCTCTGTGTTTGTCCTTACCGTGTCTTGCCTATGCCCACTACTGTAAAAAGGTTAGCAAGTCCCAAACACATTTACTGTGCACCTTAGGCTATTTCCATCCTCTAATGCAGAGAAAAACGACATTATATCCATACAGTATGTGCGCCTTGTTTTTCCAGTGTTTAAGAACACCAAGAGGAGAAAGAAACGTATAAAAGATTTGTTTAAATGAACACTGTTCATCCTTTCTACCTCCTCATATTCTCCATGTCACCTGAGGCCTGTACTACGAAGCTGGATTTTCCTAACCTGGATATGTTTGAGTTAGCCGGTTGGCCCAATCCAAAACATACGCGCTCTCGCTAAGCTGTACTACGACGCTGGTTATCAAGTGGATCGCTCAAGCCAGCCGTGTCCTATCTAGTTAGGTGCGCGTTCACATGAAAGGGGTGGTATTTGGAGCATTCGACCAATCTCAAACATGGACAAGCGTACTGACAGCGCAGCGTCATACTTCCTGAATGAAAAGTGAACTTTAATATTAGTCAAATATGAAGAAGTTAAACTTTAAACATCCATGACTTAAACACTTTATCCAGGATAAAAGCCACATAGCTGCACCTGCAAGGTGAATACAGCTGGTAAAAGAAAAAGTGTTTGAATGCGTACATTAACAGGTTTATGACATCACTGCCCCGTCCAAGACACGAGTGGATCTGACTTTAATTACATTTGACTCGAGTCGAGTGTTAATGTGTTGCTTAAAATAATACTTCTGCATACAGTATGTGACACTGTGAGTGTTGCACGGCCAGATACGGCTCAAGAAGCTGACTCAGATAAGGAAATATGATACATTATGATGTGATGATATGAATGATGGGACACATCGACGTCTGCACTCACAGTGCCGCGGACTGTACTTAATGTTACTCTGATCCGGTTACTTATGTTGTGGCAGATATTTAAGTAAGCTTTCTTAACGCTAATGTTATAATAGTCAGATTTCTCTAAAGATGGGAGGGGATATTCTATTAATGTTCACGTTCACACAGTCAGTTGATTTTTGCCGGTCGTCTTTCCTGCAATGGCAGTTTTTCTGTATTTCCTCTATCCTGTAATATGACTTGATAGCTTTAAACTCCGCACACGGAGCTCTGATTGGTCAGCAGGCAGTGCTTTCACTCAGTTGATCTCTTAGCCTGCAACCTAACCTCCTCCCGAGGAGGTTAGCCGCTCAGCATAAGTTACCATGGAGATCTAGCCCGCTAAAAAGAGAACCAGCGTCGTAGGACCGAAAAGCCCGAGTTTTCCCTGAAGTCAGCCGGCTAAGCGAAAATCCGGCTTCGTAGTACAGGCGTCTGGCCTTACCTTCCTCTCTAGATCTAATTCGTCTTCATTCTTCTCTAACAACAGGCGACTCCAGGCTCCCATTACAATTATGCAGTCATCTGGGGATTTGCAGGTCTTCTCATGTACCCATTGTAGCCTCACAGTCAGAAAATAGAAAGGTGTGTGTGTGTGTGTGTGTGTGTGTGTGTGTGTGTGTGTGTGTGTGTGTGTGTGTGTGTGTGTGTGTGTGTGTGTGTGTGTGTGTGTGTGTGTGTGTGTGTGTGTGTGTGTGTGTGTGTGTGTGTGTGTGTGTGTGTGTGTGTGTGTGTGTGTGTGTGTGTGTGTGTGTGTGTGTGTGTGTGTGTGTGTGTGTGTGTGTGTGTGTGTGTGTGTGTGTGTGTGTGTGTGTGTGTGTGTGTGTGTGTGTGTGTGTGTGTGTGTCAGCGTAGAGTGCAGTGTCTCCTCTTCATGTTCAGTCACCAACAGATGGCATAGCTAGCAGGAGAAACAACCCCTGATACCAATGTGCCTAATTGGTATTTTTACTCATCTATCTTACCTGTGAAGAGATTACATAACAGCTTTTAGCATAAAGTCGTAAAGACCTGATCAGAGTTGATACAGGTCTAGAACAGAAAGACGTAGTAAATTACCAGCCAGCTAAAGTTTAACTTAAAGATGCTTTTGGTTGCAAAATGGAAAATGTGTGAGCCAGAATCATTGAAGACTCTAATAATAAAAAAACTAAAGTATGGTTATTTTTCACTACTCTTAACTGGTTTTGACCGTTCCTCAATTTTTATTGAAACGCAATATAAAAGCACTGTAATATTTCTATTGAAAAATGACCCTCTTCCGTGGGAACTATTGGGCGACAGGCTGGGAGCCACAGGAAGGGGAGAAGAGGCATTAAGTTATGAGAGGGACAACATAATCCATCATTGCGTTTTTATGAGGTTATTTTGTTTAAAGAAAAAAACAAGACTTGACTTGATGATGACGGAGTTGACTTGGGCAGTGGTCTAATAGTAAAGACAAATTGGTTCTATCTCTTTCCCTTTAGTTTGATGATTTTAAAGACTCCGAAATAATCTGATTGCATAGGGATGTTATTGCGGAGCGACATGTCCTTTTCTTTTGTAAGGGGTAGTCCAGTGGGTGGATCTATGCCAAAAAAGATGAGAAAGGAATATTTTATTAAGACATTTGTATTTGACCAGTTTGTCATCATTGCTGCCACCTAGATACAAAAAAAGACTGCTGACAGCAGGCCAGGTATTAGAT